GCCCTGCTCCCTGGGAACTGTGCGCAGTGGTGACTGCACGTGAGGGGACCTGGGAAAGACAGAGCACCCGGCCGCATCTGAGACCCAGACCCCGGTGATTCCTGCAGAGCTCCTGCATTGTCCTCGTTGGACCAAGGCAGCAACTCGAGCGGGGCAGGACTCAACACTATAACTCTCTTTTCAGGTGAGAAGCAGAGATAAAGGAAGAGGCGAAATCACTTTTCTGGTTAAATATATATTCCAAACAGCATTAAACGGAGCATGAATGCACTGAAACTATCCGAATGGAATTTTCACTCAGACACCTACATACAGAATACAGCTTAGAGGAGCCAACGCCCTGCTCAGAGAAAGACACAGTTTTCCTTGTTGCCCATTTAAGACCAGAAATAGCACTACAGCCCATTACACATACATCTTGACTTTTTTTCTACCTCATCTTTTACCATTTCCAATTATTGCAAGGTCCACACAGATAATTAAGGAATAGGGAATAATTAGATAATGAGGTGAAAATCAGTTAATTTTTTTTTTACCTAATTGCAAAAAAATACCCATTTCTGGTCTTGAATTATTCATACCCATCAATTGTATGAATGCTGGAAAATGCCAGAAAGTACCAGAAACTCAGCATATCCTTTCATTCTTTCTTTAAATTGCCAAAGATTTTTAAAAATCAGCTATACATTTAATGTACATAGGTTAAAAGCCCAGGCTGGGTGCAGTGGTACATGCCTGTTGCTCCAGCTACTTGGAGGCTGAGGCGGGAGGATTGCTTGAAGCCAGAAGTCTGAGGCTGTTGTGATCCATGAACTTGCCATTGCACACCAGCCTGGGCAACAGAGTGAGACCCTGTATTTTAAAAAGCAGGGAAATAAATCTCATCTAGGTTCTACTCTTTCTGCCCTTCTCACTATTGCACTTGACTAGTCTTAAAAGCAAACACAGGCTGGGCATGGTGGCTCAGGCCTGTAATCCCAACACTTTGGGAGGCCAAGGTGGGTGGATCACTTGAGGTCAGGAGTTTGAGACCAGCCTGGCCAACATGGCGAAACCCGTCTCTACTAAAAATGCAAAAAGTAGCTGGTATGGTGGCACATGTCTGTAATCCCAGCTATTCGGAAGGCTGAGGCAAGAGAATCTCTTGGACCCAGAAGCAGAGGCTGCAGTGAGCTGAGATTGTGCCACTGCATTCAACCCTGGGTGACAGAGCAAGACTCCATCTTACACACACACACACACACACACACACACAAACACAAATACCCACCAATAGATCTGCAGGGCAGTGTCCATTCCACTCCCAAGAGGCAATCCACTTAAAAGCTAAAACTGTACCTGTTTACCCCCACATTTCTAAATAGCATGCTTATATTTCTATTTGCCGACTTTCTTTAGTTCAATTTTGGCTACTGACTTCATATAATGAAAAATGAGAATTTGGCATTTCTGTACCACATCCCAACTCATTATCAAGGTCTTTCTTCCCCGACACACCCACTGCTGTTTGTAACGTCTGAACAGATCAGTATTCTAGTAGATCAATTAAACGTCATGACATTGTATAAATATGACTCACAGCTGAGACACGTAGTGTACTATAATTACAGTTTCTTCCTTAAACAATTTTTTTTTTTAGTTTGTTTTTCCTGGACTTTACTTAATTGCTTTTTCACTGGATTCGTTTTTCATATACATATCAGTAACTCAGCCCTAAACTCTCTGTGAGAATTGTAAATCTCCTCTCAAGATGCAAAAGGCCCTCTGTGTTTTCATCTTCCCTGGGAGATGCCCCTCCTGCAGCCTCCCTTCCTCTTCAGCACCGGATTCCTTAGCTTCCCTTTCCTTTCACTCTGGGGATTCCCATTGCCTCTTTCCTTTTGGATTCTTGGTTTCTTGAATCCCAAGTCGTCGTCTCTCATTTTGTGGGTGCATCCCCCAGCACCTCACTGAAAGAGTGAGAGATGTGTTTATTGAACAATTGTGTGTCTGAACTGTCTTGATTGATAGTTTGTTCATTTGGGTTAAAATTCTAGTAGAAAACGATTTTTCCCATAAAATTTTGAAGACAATTTTCCATTACCTCCTGGCTTCAAATGTTGCTGTTGAGAAGACTAATGAACCTTGATTCTAGTCCTTTATTTGTTTTTAAATGTCTGGAAGTGTTTAGAATCATTTGTTTTGAGTCCATACGTCTCCCTAAAAAGGAATCCTCCAACATCCTGCCAGGGGTCTGACGTGCTTTCAGCCAGTGACCTGGGAAACCACCCAAAAAGAGGGACAGCCCCCCGCCCCCCGGTCCTGTGACAACAAAGAAACACTGAATCCTCTTGCCCTTGGCTCTGCCCAGAGCCCTCGGTCCTGAGTCTCTTCCCCATCCTCCAGATGCCACCTGAGGTGGGTGTGGCAGGCTACCTGGGGTAGAGGAACACCTGGCCATGTACCTGCTTCTGAAATAGTCTTGCCACTCCCAGTCCTGCTGTCCACCTGGCACCCTGGGAGCCCTGTCCCTTACTCTCCTTGACATCCCAGGATAAATCCACATCCTCTGGGTCGTGATGGCCTCTGCAGCTCAGCTCTCTGCAGCTCGCCTTGGCTAATTCAGTCCCTCCTCATGCACCTGCTGTGCAGCTTCCAAAATGTGTTCCTATTGCCTCTTTCCCGCAGTTGTCTGTCCTGGGTTTGTGTCCTTTAAAAAAAACCTCCTTACTATTATTTGATCGAGGCCTGGGGAGACAGTAGCAGGTGAATCAGGAAGTCAGCCTCCGTTGCGCTGAGGACTTCCTGGGTTTGGATATGACCTTGATGTGGCCGTTCTGCCACCTGCCCTGACATGACGAACGAGGGAAACACAGGGGCCAGTAACGCCCACTAGCGATAGGTATGTGTCTCAGGGTGGCATGGAGCAGCAGCCATGACTCCAGGTGCCTGAGGTTACACAAGGAGAATCCTAGGATGTCACCTGCCACTCCCAAAGATGATGCCTGAGGCTTCTCTGGGGTATGGCTGAGGAAACCAAAGGGTCACCTGTGAGCTGTGAGGACATTCCTTCCAGCGTCCTCTGGGGGTGCTTCCTGCCTGGCTAAGCACTGCCCCCACACAGCGTGGTGGATGCTGTTGGGAGTCAGCGGCCAGCCTGAGGTCTAGACCCCCAGGAGCGCCCAGCCTGCAGGACGCAGTACCACACATAGAACAGGCTGCTGCAGGGATATAGGCCCTGAGCCATTCCCGGAATGCAACTCAAACTCAAGCAAGAGAGAGGACACCGGAGACTTGAGACCGACGGAACCTTCTCCAGAAGTGCTTTCCGCCAGGCCTGGGGGCGAGGGGGAGGGCAGGGGGCCCCAAGCATGGGAGGAAGCTGACAGCTGGGCACGGATCCCGTCTTAGCCGTCAAAGGAGGGCCCACACCTCTTGCAGGGGTGAGGCTGTCACTTTGTAAGTGGGGCTTCAACTGAGGGGAGCTGCTGCTTCTCACTGGCTCCACAGAGGTGCTGGCCAGGTGACCACCGATGCTTGTAGGAACATGGACATGGGATTTTACTAGAAAAAGAGGCCCAAGCTCTGTGGCCATCAGATGTCCTTTGCATCCAGACACATTACAGCGGCTGCTAGGGGCATGTTTGCTGCCCGTGGCTGTGTCTGGCGGGCAGAGAGGGCTCTGGATACATGATGTGTGCGAGGCACACACACCAGAGCCGTGGGGAACAGGCACGGCTGGAGGGTAGGTGGGACGTGGGTTGACAGTGTGTCCTGTCAAAGCTGCAGGCCGCTTTAAAAACCGCTTTGTAAGCGGATGTGCAAAGATTTCACAAAACACGGCTATCTGATGGACACTAAGAAGGCCTGGGGATCGCTTCCCCTACGTGGCCTCAAAGGGCCGCCTCAATTCAGTGAGCATCTTTCCACTTAACACTTCAGGGTTTAATGACCCAAAGAATAGAAATTGATGAGGAAAGATGTGCCAGCCCTCGTCTTAAGATCCATTTGTCATCACAATCATTACTCTTTCCAAAACGCTCTCCCTCAGGGAGGAAAAGTACAATTGGAAAATGGAACTTTTTCATCCCTGTCTTTCAATGCACACGTCTTCCTTCACCTATGAACTCACTTCACTGGCAGTGGGTGCCAGGTGGGGGATGACAGTTGCACAGCGCGGTCCCTCCTGGGTGGCCCCTGGCCGGGGTGGGTCTGCTGGAAGCCCCAGTGGACACGGACGGATGCCCCACGGGTGGGGAGGGTGTGCAAAGAGCTGCGCAAGGCCTTGCTGCCTTATGGTTACCTTTGCTCAGCCCACCCTGACCTCCTCACACAGGCTCCATGGGCTCAGCCTGCAGGGTGGGCATGGGCTGGGCCCCCTTTGCTCCACCCAGCTGCCCTGGGCCTGTGTTCCTCCTGCCATCACACCTGCTGGCTCCTATCAGCACAGTAACTCTTTCAGCGCCCTGGGGTCCGTGGATCCTGCTTTCAAATGCCCCAGGAGGTATCTGCATTCCAATTCAGTGTCCCGGGGCTGAGCTGGGGCTTCTGCTGAAGCCACTCATGGGAGGGCTGGCCAGGTGGGCTCCTGCCCTGAGCTCAGCCCACCCCGTTTCCTCTGCCCCATGAAACCCAGGGTCCATGATACCCAAGCCAGCATCATCCTCAGAGCACCCGCTAATCCCCCACGTCTCCACGCCTCCCTCTGCTCATCCCATGTTCATGGGCAAAGCCAGCAAGTGGCCAGAGATCGTGAAGAACGCCCTGGTCATTAGAGGATGGACGAGAAGCTCCTCTGTGGGTTGGCTGGTTTGCTCATTCACTAGTGTTTGCAGAGGGCCCTGGGATGGCCATGTCAGGGCTGTGTGGTGAAGAAAACACACAGGACGTCTGTCCTGAGCCTCACAGTCCAGGGGACAGGCAGCTACCAGGTAGAGAGCCGCAAAGCACGTATATGCCACGAAGATCCAGCAGGCTTTGGAACCCCCAGACCTGGGCTCCCACGCCACTATGGCCACTCACCTCCCACTCAACTCCTGAGAGTCTTGGGGCAATCTGTGCAGCTTCTTGAGGCATTTATTTTCCCATCTGAAAAGGAAAAACAATAGTGCCAAGTTTACCAGTGTTATGAGGATTAAGGGCGAGAATGGTTAAAACGTATGGTTACTTAGCACAGAGCCCAGACAGGGCAAGCGCGTGAAAATGGTACCGACGTCAGGACCAGTGGCTGTTACTCATCAAGCGTGTATCTGCCACTCTGTGCGTCCAAATTCAACAAGGGATTATGAAAATAAATGAACATTCGGAGCTGGAACTGACTACTTCCGAAAGACCTAGGCAGGAACACCCTTAATGTGACTGTCCTTGTTAACACCAGTGGAGCAGGCGCCTCGGGAATGAGCCGTGCAACAGGCTTTCAGAAGCCAGGAGGGCTGGGCATGTCTCCTCTCCTTCCAGCTCCAGCCGGCGCTTCTCTGAGCCCAGCAGCTTCTCTGGGCTGGAGGGTGGGGGGGGCCTGGGAGGGAGTAAGATGGAGGGTGGGGTGGGCCTGGAGGAGGGAGTGGGCTGGAGGGTGGCGTGGGCCTGGGAGGGAGTAAGATGGAGGGTGGGGTGGGCCTGGAGGAGGGAATGGGCTGGAGGGTGGGGGGGGGGCCGGGGAGGGTAGGCGCTAGCGGGTGGGGGGGGCCTGGGAGGGAGTAAGATGGAGGGTGGGGTGGGTCTGGAGGAGGGAATAGGCTGGAGGGTGGGGTGGGCCTGGAGGAGGGTAGGCCTCAGCCCTGCTGGAGTCCTAGAAGTGAATGAAGGCCTTTTTGGCCTCCCACTCTGGACCTGACAGGAGCCTGGGGTGGGCACTGGGGGACTCTCAGAACAGTTGCAGCCTAGAGAGGCTGGATAGAGACCACTGGATGGAGACCATAGTGCCTGGGGGCCTGGGTCTCCTGGGCCCAGGAGCTGAGGAAGCTGGTGGTAGCTGTGCTGTCTACTACTGAGCCTTGGGGCAAGGAGACTTTGGACAGATTGGGTGCAGGCAGGGGCTGCCGAGGCCAGAGCCCCCCGAGGCTGTCCATGCAGCA